TTTTTTTTTTTTTTTTTTTTGTAGCTGAGTCATCCTGCTACCTGTTGGCAGCTCAGCGGCTGCTCAGCTCAGGCTGGACTCGAACCGTTGTTGCTCAGAGCTCAAACTCTTGAGCGAACTCTTAACCAACTGAGCCACTCGGCCGGCCCCCCAATAAAAATCTTTTTTAAAAAAAAGTAATAATAGCAGCAGCAGCTAACACTGATTGAATATTTAGTATGTGCCAGGTCCTTTTCAAAGCATTTTACTCTTTTACTTAATTAAAACTTCAAAACAACCTATGGGATGGACACTGTTATTATCGCTATTCATTGATACAGAAATTGAGGAATAGAGAGAGTAGGTAACTTGCTCAGCATCATACAGTTCATTAAGTAAAGCGAGGTTTTGAATCCAGGGAATTTAACTCTAAGGTAAGCTCTTCATCACCAATTGCCGTATTGTACAGCCTAAAGATTTCTAACTATTCATTAAGTAACAACAGAGATTTTCAAAGTATGGTCCGCGGAACCCTGGGGTTATCCCCAGACCCTTTCAACAAGTCTGCAGAGCCAAAACTAATTTTTTAATAATACTACGACTTTATTTGCCTTTTCAGCTGTGTTAACATTTTCACTAAAGGTACACAAACAATGGTGGGCGAAACTGCTATGCCTTAGGACAACATGCAGGGGCACCAACCCATAGCTGTCACTGTACTCTTCAGTGTCAGCACTCACAGGGAAAAAGGAGAAAGAAATGCTTTAAAGACTGCATCACTTAGGAATGGCCTGGGTTACTTATGTCTTTTAATCAATCTCAGCCCTTGAGCACACATCTGTTTACTATTCTGTGTGATGATACAGGGAGGAGCTAGGGGCTTCTGCAGCATACTGAGGTACTGGCTGCAGAAATTGCAGTCCAGAAATGGCTGGTCCTAGAAATTGCGCTTATGTGTTTCTCTGAGTTGCAAGTTGAATTACTTACTGTTTTCACAGAACACTATTTTTAATAGAAAGAACAACTGACAGACAAACTATGGTTACTCAGACTTAATATTTGGCAGACATTTTCTTAAAAATGAATGAAATGAGCCTGTCATTTTAAGAGTACAAAGGGGTCCTGAGATCAAAAGGCTTGAAAATAGCTGATTTAAAGAAATTCTGGGGCTGGCCGAGTGGCATGTTGGTTGAGAGTTGGCTTGGGAGGCCGGCTCGGGGCAGCCGGGCCCCGGTTCAGATCCCACATGAGGGCCAGTGACGCTGTGCCCTCTACAGCTGGGATGGTGAACGGCAGCTCCACCTGGAGCTGGGCTGCCATGAGTCGCCAGCCACGGCGTGGGCTGCAGTGGGCTACCGTGAGCTACTGTGGGTGGCTGGCAGCCGGCGTGAGCGGCCAGCAGCCAGCGTGAGTGGCCAAGAGCCGCTATGAGTGGCCGTCCAGTGGCTGGCGACTGATCTGCCATGGCCGGGAGGAACGCAGTGGTCACAGTGCCAGCATGGGCCAGTGAGGCGACGTCTTCCATAACTGTACTGAAGAACGAAAGGACAACAACCAGCAACTTGTCTGTTCTCCTTTGCCGATTCCCCAACGCTGTTCCCCTCCCCCAATTCCCCAAAAAAATATTTTTAAAAAAGAAATTCCGGAAAATCCATTTGGTTCAATTTGAGTTCCGTGCTACAACTAAAAGGAACTGAAACTGAAGTACTTTTAAGGGGTCATTTTCACTAAGTCTTACTATTTCTTTTCAATCTACAAAATGAGTGAAGTGTTATTACATACCACCTTCTAAAACTCACACATGACTGTGTGATCCCTTAAATGTGTGAACTGACTCGGATGATTCTTTATTCTCACTTACCTTCATTTCAATAACGGTTTGCAGAGCTTTTGTCTTAGCAGAATCAGGGGCATTCTCAAATCTCCGATGCATCTCCTATACAAGAGAAGCAAAAAAGGGAGTAAGTGTCCTCCTTTTTACTCGTATGGAAAAATAAAAAAGAGGGTGGGGAGTTGGAGGAGAAGGGAGAGGAAGTGGCTGTGTGCAAAAGGTGTCTTCCCCAGCCTCTGAGACGCTCTGACCCCTTTCTGTCTCCCAAACTTTCTCTGTGAAGCAGACTGCATTCAGGCTAAGGAAACATAGGAGGCTCCCCATCTCCGAACTCCTCATTATTTAAAATTAGTCACACAGACCCCAGCTACCAGAACAGCTGAAACTACAGCACGTCCCTGGTTGGTGTGTCAATCTTCCACATGACCTGTATTTTCCTCTAAGACATCTAATCAGAACTCCAAATGATCCCAAAAGGGGACTAGAAATATCCCCTTTTTCAAAGGAGAAATGAAAGCAATCACAGCCAGCCTCCATCGCACAAGGCGACCAATGGCATCCTTTCCATGGCATCCACCCCCAGAGGAGCAACCACTGCTTACCCTGGATGAAAATCTCTCCCCACTGAGGCTACAAGTAGGAAGAAAAAGAAGACAAGACTGCTGAGCAAGTTCCCTAAGCAGTTTGTGTTTAGAAAAATGTCAAAAAAAATGATTTTTTTTTTAATCCAAGATTAGTTCAGGATCTGGAAGGAAGGTGGTGATGGTAATAGGTTTAAGGAAGGAACATTTTTAAATTTTTCTGACTGGCTTCCACTGCAGAATTAATGTCACAAGTAGGTTTTTCAAGGATCACCCTGAAGTTACCAGAACACCTCGGGCTACTGTCAGATTTTATGAACGTTTCTGAGTTAATCAGTCGGTACTTCCAAAGTGCCCTAGGATAGACCCTAGTGACCCCAGAGAATAGACAGGTGAATACTTTCCAACTGACCAGGAAGAATAGTTTGAGAGAAATCAAAAACAGAACTGTAAACTCCATTGAGTGACCTCTTCCTGAAGGAACAGTCCTAATGAAGTGACAAAAGTTCTAAATTGGAAACACTCCACAGCTTAAACACCGGTAATTTCTGAACATCCACTAACATAGGATCCCCATCTGGGGGCTGATACTACGGTGCAAACCACTACTAATATACATCACCCTTTCTGCTACTCTCCCCCTAACTCCAGCCTTAAATATTCAACTAGGTATCCAACTTGTATATTTAACCAGCACCTCAAACTCTACATGCCCAAGACTAAACTCTTGGTGGTGCCAAAACCTGCTCCATCCTTCCAGTCACACTGGTCCAAAACCAATGAGTCTTCTTACTGCCTTCCTTTCTCTTTCAAGCCACAGCCAATCAGGAAATCCAGTTAACTCTACCTTCAAACATATCAAAACTCAAAACACTTCTTACCACCTCCAGTGCTACCATGTGGAGGGAGCCACTAACAAAAACAATACCTTCAAAGCCAACAACATCTCCTGGGCTGGCTGAGTGGCTCAGGTGGTTAAGAGTTCACTCAAGAATGCGAGCTCTGAGCAACAGGGTCGCCAGTTCGATTCCCAGCCCAAGCTGAGCTGCCAACAGGTGGCAGGAAGCTCAGCTAAAAAAATTTTTTTAAATCTCTCCTAACCAGGCTCCCCACTCTTTATCCTACTCCCCACTACAGTCTATTCTCAACAAAGCTCTCAGAGTGACCCTTTTAAACATAATTTGACCTTGTCACTCCTCTGCTTGAAATTCTGTCATGCCTCCCCACCTCTCTTCCCACTCTTCCCTCAGACTCCTGCTGTCCCTCAGCCATGCCAGGCATTCCAACTCCTCAGGACCTGTCCACCAGATGGCCCTGCTGCCTGAACTCTTTCCTCAGCTCGTGGAGGAAGAGCTGGTCTGCTTCCAGTCTTGGCTCAAATATCTCTTCCAGATTATTAGGTTTATTAGTTGTGATAATCACATTGTGGTTATGCAGGAAATGTCCGTGTGTTTCAGAGATGCAAGCTAAAGCCTGTAGAGGTAAATTGCATCGTGTCAGGAATTTGGTGAATAAAATAAACAAAAAATGATACATGAAGCAAGTGTGGCAAAATCTTGGTAACTAGTATATCTGAGTGATAATAAGTAGACTGAGATTCATTATACTAGTCTCACTACTTTGGTGTAGGTTCGAAACTTTCCATAAAAAATTAATGTTTAATTTCTAAGTGTAACGTACGTGATTTTGCAACTTAAAATTGACACATGTCCTGTCCCCTTTACCTTATTCTACTTTTCCTTCTTCCTGTAGCACTTAGCCTCTACCATATTATGTAATCTGTTTACTTGTTATGTGTTCTGTTATTTTCTATTTTCCTCTATAAGAATGTACGCTCCTCAAAGGCCAGGGTCTAAGTTTCATTCACTGATCAATCTGACGTGCCTAGAAAAGTAGCTGGTACACCAGTAAGTGCTTAACACATTGAAAGAATGAATGTCGAATGAATGAAGAACGATGGCCACCAACCTTTCAAGAATTAGGTAAAAAAGGAATCTTTTAACTGCCGCCTACTGTGGGCTGAATTATGTGTACCTCCTCTTATTTTTCAAATAGCATGCGACACAGCCCTCCTTTTCATTTAGCTTACTAGGTTATATTTGAAATAATTTTCTTCTCTAACAAAGAAGACAGTGAACTCTTTAAGAGCAAAAACTATCCTTTGTTTCCTCAGATATTGTCTGGCCTGTAAGCAATCATTAGAAATTATTTCTCCTCCACATCTGTTCCTCTTTTGTTGGATGAAGGAATGAATAAATAAATGAATGAATTATCTGCTGGTTTCCATCTTCAGTGGTCCATTCTACTGGACCATTCCCTCTGCAATATCAAATAAAGGATCTCCTTGTTTCTAAACCTAATAGCTGTTGTCAGTCCACATCCTCTATGAACTCTATCGAGTAGCTGACTTTTTTTTTTAACCATGGAGACATTTAAGGGAGAAACATTTTTTTAATTTTCAATTGGCTTCCATTACAGAATTGCAGAATTATCCTAGCTTTAAATGTTTACTTTTCCCTATCCTATCCACAGACAGACATTTTCTAAGTTCCTGTCCTTGGAACACTTCTCAATTCTACAGCCTCAATCCAGGGCTTCTCCTAGCCCACAGAGTAACAACGTGATTTAGAAAGAAGCAACACCCCTGGGGTAGATGCAACCTCACCATGAAACATGGGTTGAGTTTTGGGCCCCACCTGCTCCATCAGCAAGAAGCTCTGGTTCAGTGAACAATGTGCACATGCAACATCCAAGGAGCTCTTCCCCAATCCCACAGATTCCCATCCAAGGGGCCCTTCCCCAATTCAACAGACTCCCATCCAAGGGGCCCTTCCCCCATCCCCCAGATTCCCATCAAAGGGGCCCTTCCCCAATCCCACACATTCAATTATTACCCTCCAAGGGTAACCTGCAAAATCTATTTCCCTGGCCCCATACTGGACATCAGTCACTCTTTCTTGCCATTGGTATCTGATCTTCTTTCTACGGTTGGGGCGCCACATTTTACGGCATCATGTACCTCCCATAATATAAGCTAAAAATGCCATGTATTTGTTTCCCTAGCCTTTCTTGCAGTTAAAGTCCAGACACATGACCTAATCACCCCAATCAGACACATACATCACTTACTTTCAATCAGAATCTTATAACATGAAGAAGCAGCAGCATGAATATTGAGACAATTCAGGCAATGAGTGGCAGAGGCAGCGGCTACCCCAGTTTCCAGACTCGGATGGCAGAGGTGCGGGTGGTGGTGGTAAGCAATGCCAGTGACGTCAGCAGATGCTGCTGCTGTGCCTGTGCCCTGCACCAACGGCAGCACTGTCTCCACCAAACCAATGAAGGAGCATGACTGATTTGAGGCACTGTTTTTGGCTATGCAACTTCTGACCCAGTTGTTCAGGCCGCCTAGAGATTCTGGGACCTACCTATTTATTCATTTATTCATGCCAGGAACTATGCCAAGTTTTGGAGATATAATGGAAGAATAATAAATTTGGTCCCTTTTATAGTGGAGTTTTGTCTGCCATGAAAAAAAAAATGATTTTAATCAAATAATCATCTAAACAATTCGTCATCATCACCAATGACCTCCACTTTGCTAAAACCCACGATTTAGCCTTAGACCTCAGCTTACTTGATCTATGAGCAGCATCTGACATGGTCTCTCAGTTCCTCTTCCTTAGTATACTCTCTTCTCCTGGCTCCAAGACATGACACTCTCCAAGTTTTTCCTCCTGCCTTACTGGCTCCTTTTCTGCCAAGCTCCTAGGAGCGCCCAGACATCAGTCCTTTGTCCTCTTCTCCAGCTTAGAAATTCCCTTGGTGTTCTCACCCACTCTCTTAATTCTCATTTCCATACACATAATAACTCCCAAATTTTACCTCCTGCTGAATCCACACTTGTGTGTGTGTATATCTGATAGATACCACACTGTTAATATATCCAAAACTGAACTCCTAATCTATCCCATCACGATTAATAGTATGTGTCCACCCAATTGTTTAGGCCAAAAACTTGGGAGTCTCGTTTCTCTTACACCACATCCAAACCACCAGGAAATCCTATTTTCAAAATGTCCCCAGAGACTGACCGCATCTTACTACCTCCGCTGCCACAATAATCTGAGCCACCATTATCTCTTGCCTGGATGATAGCAACAGTCTCCCAAAGTTAATTTCCCTATTCACAATAGGGCAGTTAGAGTGTTCTTTTAATAGAAGTCAAAATGTGCCTGAAGCCTTCGAAAGCTCCTCGTTCCTCTCCAGTGAAAGCTCCAGGCCTTCTGCCGGCCTGAAAGGCATGATGTGACTGGCCCGTTCCTTGCCTGGCTTCATCTCTTACTGTTCTCTTCCTTGGTCGCCAGCCACACTGGCCCCCCTGCTTTCTTTCCCTCAACACATCAGTCCTGTTCCTGACGTAAGGCCTTTGCACTCACTGTCCCCCCTCTGATCCACTCTCTCTTCTTCCCTTAGCTTTTCAAGTCTGCTCAAAAGTCAAAGTGTCAGAGAGGCCCATTCTTA